AGAACTTTTGCTGCATCGCCGGGCAATCTTCGATAGCGGCCACTATCCAATCGATGATGACCGCTATCAAGGATTTCGCCTAGCAAACGCAAAGAAAAAACGAAAAAAACATTTCGTTACGAAAATTTTGCGACAAAGCGAAATGGTTGCAACGTGAATTCAATGAAATGAACAAATGAGTCCTCGTTTTGGACAGCTTCAAAACAACCAGTAAAGTTTACAAAAAAGAGAAGAATTTGTTTTTTTCTGTCTTCCTCGCCAAAATCAGCTGTTCATCGATCCTCTCCTTTTCGGGCGCGGTTGTGCAATTTTGCGCCGATTTTGTCCGCAGTGTTAGGCAAATTGCTGTGTATCGTAAGTTACTCAGGAGCAACTTACGAAGATTTTCTCTGCGTTTCCTCTTTAGCACACTATTTCTGGACATCATCGTTCATATCATCTCCCATGACCCGGCAGGGAGATCATCTCCCTGCCGAACTTCACCTGAGGCTAACCTCTCAGGTGACGTTGCGGAAATGGGCGGTCGTCATTTTACTGACAGAACCTCACATGAAGGTCTCAGGGGAGATAATCTCCCATGACCGAGCTTTACTACGGGCCATTGAAAACGAAAAATGGAACAAACGCGATTTTGTCTTGCTCTTAACTCTTTAAAGGCAGCGTCCAGGCAGATCTCGACCTATGGGGCTTTTACGTGGAAAGTACTTTTGGGGCCCTAACTAAGGCACTGCCCAAGCGGCAGCTCAGGAAGTGTAATGGCTGAGATATTACCCTCGAAACTGGACCCCGCGACCGTGTTTCGCATGGATTCATGGCGCAAGGCGTGGATCCCGGCGCGAAATTGCCATGAATCCATGGAATACGTTCGCGGGGGCCAGTTTCGAGGGGAATATCTCAGCCATTAGAGCATTACCTGAGCTGCCGCTTGGGCAGTGCCTTAGTTAGGGCCCCAAAAGTACTTTCCACGTAAAAGCCCCATAGGTCCAGATCAGCCTGGACGCTGCCTTCAATTTGGAGGTCATTTGAAGTAGGATTTCTAATGTGAGCAAAAAAATAGTAGTTCTTTGTATTCAGCGCAAAAAAGTAGTTAACTTACCAATGAAACAAAGTAACATGTTCAAAAACGACCATCTCTTTTAGGTGATCCTGTATTTGGAAACCTCAGAATTTGCTGAAACTGGACCACAGGGGTTATTTTACTTGCTAGTCACAAAACGATGCTCTTATGCTTTATAGAACCTTTGATCATGCTTACTATACGTGTACGACAATGGGTCAAGCATCAATGTGCTAATATTTGCATGGTGGGCCTATATGACATTGTTAACGAATATCATGCTTGATACGACCCCCCCCCTGATTCCTCGATACGACCCTCCAGGTGTGGCATGCCACACCCCACGCTTTACCCTGGATATAACGGATACCCGTCGTTGCCTACCTCAGTAGCATTTCTTTGCTAATTGGGGTAGCCCTCAAAGCATTCTCGCATCTGCTTAGCGATGCAAAATCAAGCTCTGAACACGGACCATGTATCGCATGCTTCCAAATAAGTTCGAGCAGACGTAATTGCTCTTTGCATGAATCGTCTGCTGGCTATTCAGGAAATTCAGCGGATCAGCGGAAAAATGATAGAATTCATTTTTCAAGGAGTGTCAACTCCGGCTAAAGTAACAAGTAGATGAGGATGTGGCATACCTCTCTTCTAAAGAACTATATACTTTCAAGCAAACACGTCACTATGCCGAAAAATTGTTTTTTTTATGTCGTCAAGAAATTCGGTAAATTTAAGGAATGACATTAGGTGACATATAGACGGATCGTTATCCATGAATCAAATTTTCTTGCGAGATTGTTCTTGATTCCAGATCATTACGACGTGCCATGACCTATACTGAGTAATGCGTTGCTTTTTAGATTCTGCTCCTTCTCGTCACCATCAACAGCATCGAATTCACATTGATAAAATTATTACATACTACATTATCCTCCTTTCCCTCACCAGAAATCAATCGACATGGAAGCATGTCTTTGATGTACGTTTGCTATCCACGAGGGATTTACCAGGGATACATGAGCGCTATTGAGTTGTGATGCGCAGCTACAGGTTTTCCACTTAATAAACTTTGAATCCCATCTACTTTTCGCGCAATTATATCCTAGTCTTTGCTCAGATGAACTGCTGATTTGATTTTTTAATAATGGCAGTGAGGCAACCAGGATGGACATCAAATAAACTCCAAACTAGAGTGCGCATGCCGCTGTAGATATGATGATAAAGTTCGCCGGCGACTCTGCGTCTCAACATCGGCGGAAACTTTTCCACTCGTCCAAATTTAAATCGAAAGGCTTTGGAAAACGCCTTTATTCGCCGTTTCTGCGCCTTCTCTCGCAAAATGGATTTTGGACTCACAAGGGAATGATCAGAAATCGAAGTGGCCAATTCAACTAAAGTGCATACCATTAGATGCAGTATAAAACTCTGACTCTAAATCTGTCTTCTTTATCTGCAGAGCACTTTTGTGGATGAAATTATAAGCCCTTGAAGGCCATTATTTTGCTAAAAAATGGTGCGTGTAAGGGGCAAACCTGGCCGTACAATGCCATTCTCGGCTCAGTTTTGGACCAAAACATGCAACTGGGTCACTTCATATGGCCCGTACCTAAAGGCGAGCTAAAAGAGCAACGATGTGCCTAATTTAGGAATTTTTGTGTGCGATTTTTTTGCAGTAAAGCTGCACATAACTTCGCCTACAAAAACGCTCTGCAGATATGAAAAACAGATTAGAAATCAGCGTCTTATGCTGCATAGAATGGTATGCAACTTGTCTGGATAGGCCACTTCGACTTTTGACCATTCCCTTGTCAGCGTAAAGAGTCAATCCGTGCAAGCGAAAAATAAGAAACTGAGACTTGCTCGGAAGCCTTCCATAATGGTTGTAAGCGTAATTTTGAGGTCAAAAAGCTAGGAAGGACATGTAATGGAAACACGATACATATGAATACACCTACCATGAGGGAGAAAGAGAGAAAATATGACTATACTGCAACGATCGACCCCAAAGAGGAGGGGTAGATACTGGGCTGCTACATAAGTTCTGCCCGATTTTGTTGCCTTGTGTTTGAAGCAGTCGATGCAGGGGATTTTCATCGTAATGCGATATTATTTGCTCCATTAGGAAGGCACTTTCCTACTCTTTCTAACACATATTATATTGTAGTAAAATCCCAAGTCTGACGAGATTGCAAGCCTATGATCCCCAGATGGTCGGGACACGTTTTCAGTTAAGAAAATGTTCTTTCGAGAGAATCTCCACAATATGTTCTTCGAGGCAAGTACTTCTATTATCACGGAATAAGGGCGAAACAGTCCAGTATATGCACAAAGTCACATTCAAGGAAAAAAAAACGTTTTGCTAGTAAAATCTGTTGTTGAAGAATGATTACTTGTACAAGAGTTCTACAAGCAATAACTTTCCGCGAATAGAGGCAATCGATGAGTCTTTTGTTGGAGGTGCTAGAGTAAAGCAAGAGCTAGCAGAGCCCAGCCACCTTTCTTTTTACCCCTCGCGGCAAGTGTAAAATTTTCATCTTTGAAAATGGGCATACATACATGTATAAAAATGAGGTTGAAAAACGGCTTCGTTTTTATCCGGTCGTGAAGATTTTTCGATACTCAAGATCTACGGGCACTTCCAGGTGTAGAATAATCATGGAAATTTCCTCTATCTACTCATGGCTACTTATTGTGCCTGTCTCTCATAAGGGGAGCATTGCCATGTCAAAAAGGAAGGTTTAGAGCACTGTAAAGTTTTTGAGTTCTTGCTTCTTCCTTAACGGGGTTTTTGCAAGAACTGTTACTTCTCTGATGGCTAAAGACTGCTCAACACACAAAAACTAAGTTTACGGAAAAAAGCTGATTTTGAAAAAAGTTATGATATTTTGAACTAGAAGATTCAAAGCAGACAGGACTTATGCAGCAGCCTGATACAAGACCGGATAGATGCGGCATAAATCTATATCCTAAAATCATCTTCATAAAATCAAAAAAATCATAAATCTTCGCATCTGTGTTCCATAATCTGCTTGGCTCCTATGTGGGCGAAGAGACGTTAAAGGCCGTTACTTTGCTAAGAAATCGTTCATGCAAAGCGCAAGTTTGGCAGTACAGAGCAGGGCTCGGCAAGCTGGCATCGGGTCAAGCTGGATTTCGTTTTTGAACAAAAAGCAAAAGGGGTATCGTTTTTGTGGCGTAAAAGACGCAAAAATTGCGACGTTTCTTTCGTTTAGTCGACGGTTTTTTGAGGGTTTTTACGCTTAGGGTTTAGCATCAAAAGGGAGTTCATACAAAAATTTCAAGATCAAAGGAGACTTCGTTTTGAAATTTCCCCGTGCCAGCTCGCGCCGAGCCTGGTACAGTGTCATGTTCGGCCTAATGCTGGGCCAGAACATGCAGGTTGCTATATATTCTTGAAGCCTAGAAGCGAGCTGAAATTGCAACAATGTGCTCAATTTCGCAATTTTTATGTGCGATTTTTCGCAATAAAACTGTTCATTTTTGTCAATAATGCTAAGCAGATATGGAACACAGATTCAATCAGCGTTAAGTGCTGCAGCGATTGGTGCAACTTGCTTGGATTGGCTACTTCGACTTCTGGCCATTCCCTTGTAAGACTTTGAGTCGGCGAGAGATTGGAGACCATGGTGAAATTCCAATTTTCTCATTCTCCCTTGGCCTCGCGTGACGAGCTCCACGGCCAATGGAAGGGCGCCAATCCGAAATGTTCAAATTACTAATCACTTGGTGACGAGGAACACGTGAAATTATCGTTATTCATAGTTCATGTTCACTTCTCCACAGCTTATATCTTGCTAGTATACCTCTTTCAGTGCATATGCCACAGATAGCTTAGATATCCGAAGCTATTTCGTTTGTTTTACCATGTGTGTCTTGGTCTCATCGTTTTTTTTTTGATTTGCAATCGTTCAAATTCTTTTGCAGCTTTCTATATGTCTGTTTACGACACCTCACTTCTAAATCAGTTTCTACCGCAGTACTACAAGAAGATATTTCCGTTTAAGCCTTACGTGAAATGGTTGTGCTACAATCAAAGTGAGTTGACCATGTTTTGAGAGCATATTTTTGCTTTCAGTGAAGTACTTGTTGAAGTTTTTTAGGCAACAGAATCTATCATTTTCCATATTGGGATTGAATTTTGTGCCTTTCTTATGAATACGTACGTCATGTGAAAAGAATTTCGTTTATTTCAGAATCTAGCGACTATTTTGCTCGACGTGAATTTGCTTTCATCTTGGAAGGAGATGTCCATCTTCGATACCGCAGTTTTAATGATCAGAATGAATTTGAGACGGAGCTATGTAAGGTTAACCCACACAAGCTTGACATAGGAGCAGTCTACACTCACAGAGTTAGTCACATTTCTTTCATTGTGACAGGTAATATTCCCCGGATTTCCTTATTGGAGCAGTGGCAGTGCAGTTAGACTTTATTCATGTCATTTCTCATTGCCTTATTAGTCAAACAATATTCAGGTATTGCACAATTGAATCACTTAACACATTTTCTTTCAGCCTAAAGACAATAAGAAACATTCTGACTTCAAAGCAGTAGAGAGGGAGCTTGTGTTTGATATCGATCTCACAGACTATGATAATGTCAGAAAGTGTTGCTCGTAAGTTTTCATTCTTCTTCCTTCTTGCAAGACCATTTACAAATATATACATTCCTCTTCATCTTCTTCCTAAACTTTCAGAGAAGCAAAAGTTTGTGAGAAATGTTGGCGATTTGTATCGCTCGCAGTTCAGGTGCTGGATCGGTTATTAGATGGTAAGTTCCAGTTTATATCATGTTTGTTGAATGAATTTGCTGTTTTTAAGAGCATTTTGGATTCAAAGCGCGTATGTGGGTATTCTCTGGCCGTCGTGGTGTTCATTGTTGGATTGGGGATGAAAAAGCAAGGAAATTAACTAACATAGGACGATCTGCTGTGGCTGAATATCTTTCGCTTATTGTGGTAAGTTTGATTCCATCACACTTATCATCTCATGTGCGTTCCCGTGGTCTTTTGTTGCGATTGTGGAATGTGGTAACTTGCTCATGTGTCATGCATCTGTTGTTGATTTCGAATTCACATTATTTTTTTACAATCGCTTTGTTGCTTTATGAAGCTTTTACAAGTACAATAGGATTATCCTGCTTGGTAAGAGAGAATGTTTTAGGGTGATAAACTTGATATGTTTGGAGGCAGATCTTCGAAGAAACAGCAACCCATCCATCCAATGGTTGAAACGGCTTATCGCGTAGCCATGGATAGCGGCGAAATGGATGCTATGGTGAGTTTATACTTCTTTTTCGGTAATGTAGGTGATGGATCTTTCCAGGTAATAGAGCAAGGCTGGCTTGAACTGGATAATGCACTCGCTGTCCTAAAATACTGTGAGGATTCGGATCTTCAGGCAACTTTACGAGAGCAGTTCCAGGGGTAAGAACTTCTTGCTACTTGTTCTTTATGTGATTCTTCCAAGAGTGTTGAGTTTACAATCTTTTTCCACATATTACCTTTTAGAGTTGATAGCGCTGAAAAGAGGTGGCAATTACTGAAGCGTCGATTTGACGATAAGTATCGAAAAGAGATGACCCAAGCCAAACAAGTTGTTCCTGAGGTGATACCCGCTGCACCATATTCTTATATCTTTTTGTCAACTATCATGGGTAATATCACTATGATATTCTTCATACAGAGTGTTAGCGGGCCAAGCCGAAACTTCTTGCGATGGTTTGTGCTCTGGCATGCTTATCCTCGCTTGGATGTGAATGTATCAACAGGTAAGCGCCTACTACTACTTTTTGATGTAACTTATTTTGTTGTTACTTTTATACAGGCTTGAATCACTTGTTGAAATCACCATTTTGTATTCACCCGAAGACTGGTAACGTCGCTGTGCCCTTGGATGTGAGCAATATCAGCAGTTTTGATGTGAAGGCTTGCCCTCGTGTTGAGTGAGTTTTCTTTATCTGAGTTTACCTTTCCTTGCATCATGGACTACTCATGTGTCTCCAAAATCTGCATATCCTAAGTTTATTCATAAGGTTGGACTCGTTTTTACCCTCTCAAACTCTACAGTCTGTTTCTTTTGGTTTATTGGCAAAGTCTGGAACCTATATATGCGTTCTTACTGGCTGGTTTGAAGGGAATTCTTGTTGATCGTTCAGTCTGAAAATGTAAATTTCGCGAACCATACAAGTTACACAAACTACACACATACTTCATGATTTTCTCCTCCATAATGTTTCGCGCATTCTACACCTTTGTAACCAATGGTCATACATTCAGCTTGCTAGTCAGTGAGCTATCGAAGACCATCGACGACGAGGACGTGAAGGAAAATCGGAAGATTTTAGGTGAGAGACTTGCTTTCAAGCCTTCTGTGCGATATTCTGATTTTGTTTCCAGGATACAAGCATACATCTTTGGCACCTTATGTTGAGAACTTCGAGAGATTTGTGGAACTGGCTGTTTCCCAATGACGACCCCACAAGTGCATGGTATTCGATGAGAACTCTGTCAGTCTGTTACGGTGTAACCTTACATACACTGATTATTCCTAAACTTACAAAATTTGAACTATGATCTCTTTTCTTTTGAATGTAATTGCTTCTAAATGTTTGGACGATGATAGTTGTAGATAGATTAAAAATGTTGTTGTAAATATTTTTTGAAGTTTTTTGCTACTTCGTTGGGTGAGGGCTTTTTATGGATAAAATGTTTACAAATCTGAGGAATTATAATTTTTTTCAAATTTGCAAGTGCCCTAAAAGTAGATATGTACATGCGTTTGAAGGTACCGTCCAACATAAGTTGAGAATCTTGAGCTTTTAGCACCTTACGATAGTAAGACTTCCCATCAAACCTGTGCCCAACTCGCCAAAATGTCTCTTCGGAAGCGAGAATCTCCCCGGAATGACGTAGACGCACGAGGATCCCCAGACGGGGCCGCCCTCCCCATCCATGCCCGCCCACCCTGCGCGCCCAGCCAATCACCCTTCCAGAAAGCCGGCCTGCGGGAGCTCCCAACAATTCCTGTTCTTCGGAACAGGAATTGTTGGGGTTTTCGCGAATTTTCGAATTCTTATTCGGAATTAAGTACATGAGAAAGCACCAGTACGATCAAAACATGAAAAGCCTAGAATCTGGGTAGACGATGCCTTTAATCGTTATTGATTTTCTTCCAATTACCTTTCGACCTTCGTACGATTCTATAGAATAGGCTTTAACTTACAAGGGAACGGTGTCGAGTCGAAGTGGCCTTTCCAGATGAGACCCATATTGCTTTGAAGAGCATTAATCGGTGATTCCAAATCTGCTTTCCAAATCTGCCAAGCGCCTCTGGACGCCGAGTTATGCTCGTTTTTCAGCTCAAAAAATTGAACGCAAAACTGGAGCAAAATCACCCAAATTTGCTCAATTGGTCCAGTGTCAAGTATCAGAGCCCTTTATGCAATGGGTACATTTTATCTAATATGCTAATACTCAACATTGCTTTGTCTGAGCGCTGGAAAGATTGTAACAATCGATTTTACCTAATTTTTGCATTCATTTTTCCTTCCGAAAAATGGTCATAACTCGGCGTCCAGAGACGCTTGGCAGATTTGGAAGGCAGATTTGGAATCACCGCTTAATACTCTTCAAAGCAGTATGGGTCTCATCTGGAAAGGCCACTTCGACTCGACACGGTTCCCTTGTTAGTTCACACTATGGAGCAAATCACATGTTGCTCTTCACTACATAGGATTACGGTGGGATTTTTTAAAAGGATTTCGGGCCATATTAAAAAAGACAAACACCTAAAAACACTCACACTAGGCTAATCAGAGTTTAAGCCTGAGGGCACCTTACCGTAAAAGTTCGTGTCAGGTATACCACGACAACTGCTTTCTTAGTGTCCCATAGGAATGTGATTGGCATCTGAAGCTTTACACACTTGTGAAGGTTAAAAGTAATGTAGTTAAAGTAAAGTAAAGTCTTGCGTGAAGAACCTGCTACATTGCTTTCCAGTTTTTTTTCTGAAAGTTATTTTGTTGAAATACGCAGCTACTTCACATTGGCCCAAAATGCTGGATGTTATAGTCCTTTAGTAATGAAAGCGATTAAGTTGAAGCCAGCTCTACAGAATGGCACCTGATGTTATGACAAAAGATGAGAATTGAATAATGAACGATTAATTAGCGTGTACTTAGTTTTCGGACACCCTGTACAAGTATTTCCTGCGTCTGTTTTTTTTTCGTGATTACGGTACTACGCACCCCTCGATCGCAGATTTTCAACGATTTTTCAACCCCACTGGTTAGGACGTCCTTCATGACGGGTGCAAAATACTAGTCGATTCTTGAAGATCGTTGGACCCGAATGATCCGCGGCAGATATTGTTGGTGACCACTGACATGTGATCCGTCTGCTTCACAAGAAACCTGGGAAGTAGGACAGCCGTGGAATCTGCGTGCCATCTCGTGTTCCTCTTCACGCTCTCCTCAAATGTCATATCGCTTCTTGTTCTGAAGAGCGCTTTTCTATACACCTGTACAGTGACTGGCCTTGGTAGTTGGCCATGGAATAAACCACAGGTTTCCGGTTAGAAAATTCTTGTTAAAACCTTCTTAGAACACTATACTACTGCTTTTTCAAGTGTAGTCTTTCAAGTCCATTCAAAGTAAATGTTTTTAAACTAAAAAGCTTGACGAGAAAATCTCCAAATATTTCTGCTTTCTAAGTAAGCTGGGATATGTTAGATGTGCACTAGGAGGGGTTTATCAGAATTGTATTCTTTGTTGCAATGTAGCAATCGACCCTTGTATGCTCGCAATATCTCACAAACTAGGGGCTACTGCGGTATATAAAATTTGCCAGTCGAACTGGCCGTTCAACTGATAGATTTCGGGGAAATGCTAAAGGAATGAAATCTTGAAGACAGCTAATTTAGCATCTTCTTTGGCAATATTTCACATAGAAAAAAGGCCATGCATCCCAATACTTGAAATTTTGTTCTCTAGGCCACTCTTTCGCGCAAGGGTTGTCCCACCGCAATAACACTATATCAGCCGGCTTACCAAATCACTAATAGAAGCCAAATAGTTTATTTTTCGCCAAAGATTTTCCAGTACCGAGCACAAAAAGTAAGATATAAGAAGCTTTTTCTCAAAAACTAAAGTGACAGGAAACGTCACTGATAGAGAGGGTTAGCATCATCGCTGAGTACGTTTCTTAGCGAAGGGTTTCAATTCGATTTCAACTTGCCGGATGAACGTGTAAATAGAAGGTTGATTGGCAATTATCATGTTGTCGAAGAAATAGTGTCTTTTTTAATTGCTTGCTATGCCACCGCGACCAGTCGAACAGCGAAAATGTATGAGGAGTAATGTTTGATAGGGCAAAGGAAGCTCTACAAGAAGGTGCCCAAATATCTCCAAATGTGTTCCACATGAAGTTCGAGGAACAAAATCTCAGAGAATTTGAATGAAGAACTGAAAAAGAGTTGCATCTCAGTCTACAGAAATCTCACAAGTTTCTTACTTGCTCGGACACGTACTTTCCACATGTGGCTATCTGCGAATTTGCTGGTTTTTTCCATGGGTAAAAATGGGGAAAGAAATAATTTTTCTTTTTTTGCCAAAGCTGCACTTGGTTGCTTCTATACAGGTAATTCTAAACTATGAATCTTTGGAAGTGAAAACATGAATTTTCAGCCTTTTACAAGCGATAATTTTAGAGAATATTGTAGCGGAGAAAACCTTGAAATAGGCTTCATTTGGCTCTCTTGGCTCATACTGGTGTGTGTATGTTTCTCAATTTCCAACTATGGAAAAAGCAAGAAAATCCGCAGGTAAAAACCAGATGCAGGGAGTGTGCCTAAATAAACAAGAAGCTCGTAAGTCTCTTTTAGACGACGATACGATTTTTTTTCGGTTTTTTAATGCATTCGTTTCCTTTTGGAATTTGGCACCAAACTTTATGTGGAACAAATTTGGAGCAATATTTGGGTGCTTTCCTGTAGAGCTTGCTTTGCTCTATCGAATAGTAATCCCTTTTGCATTTTTAGTTTCAGTAGTCGCGGTGCCATAGTGAACAAAAAATAGCATTATTCTCTTGAGAATCTGATAATTTCTGGCTACGACTTGTGGATATGTTACAGGCAATTCGTCAACTGTCTGGTATGTTCAGAAAGGGCAGCATAAAAAATCAGAACATATAAGGTGCACTCTGTTTGAGAAAAGAAAGACGCAAAGAAATGAGGTAGATAGATCGTTTTCCATGTGGAAATGGGCAAAAAATTCGTATTTTTCAAGTACAGAATTTGATATTCGTCGCATAAAATTTATCAAAAATTTAAAACTAAAATGACAACTTTTATTATTGTTCGCCGAGCAGCGAAAACTTTTGTGTATCAATTATTAAATTATCAATCTTCGCATCCCAACCATGAAAAAGAAACTTAGAATTCTAAAGAAAGTGCATTTTCGAAAAGCATCTCAATGTAACCTTTGATTCAACTAGCTTGGCGGTTGGAAGGCGGGGCTTCGTGACCCAATTAATGCTAGGTAACAATCAGAGAGCACGCGCGCGGGAGAGACACGAGGGCGAGGGGGAGGGCGCTAGCCTTAATTAGATTACAAAGCCCGACCTTCCAACTGCCAAAGCAGTTAAATCAAAGGTTAGCTGTTCTGTTACCAGCAGAAAACTTTTATATATTGATATCCTCAAAAATGCTTTGCTAAACAGCAACAAGCTGAATATTTATAAGTATGTTAAAATGAAATTTTCGAGCTAATCCATTGGATTTATATGATCTACAAAAACTGCCATCCTTTGCGAGCTTTGGCTAACAGTTGCTATCGAATATCTGACCACAACGAGAGTGCTCGATGGCAGCTCTGAGAGCGGAGACATCGTTGTGGTGTGTTCACGAGAATTTGTTACAACCAGGTGCCACCTACAGCTGGCTCTCGGCCGGTGAATGAGTGTACGCAGCCCGCAAACGTAATTTACTCCATTGCTGTGCTAAGAGCTCTCGTCTATCATTTCTAATATGTTGTGCTTGTTTCTCTTCTCCAAAAGGCAGGGGTCATGCAGGTTTAAGCTGATCTCAGATAATTTCAGTTATATCTGGTTTCCTTAAGCTTTCTGTGTATTTCGAGCTCACTTGATGCTATAATACAATACCTCATTCAAATGATGACCGTAAATGGCTCATACTGTATAGAAAATGCACAAAATCGCACATTTTCTTCTGACTTTGCAGCTATCAACTATAATTACCCAAGTATCTCCCGTCTCCCTCCCCCTCCCGGGAAAGGGTCGCGAAATTTTTGAAAGTTACTCAAATGAATCAAGGAAATATGCAAGCGATCTGTTAATACTTGTGATCAATGAAAATGTTCTAAAATTGTTAAAAATTCAATTTAGCCCCAATTTGGGGGTTATGGGCCCGCAAAAATTTCAGGAAGCATATCAAAAAATTTTTTGGAGTGCGTGGCTGCCGCCAGGAACCTTCACCAGGAAAACATGTTTGTCGGTCCCCCTTCCCCCTCCCGGACGGAAAACCTGGGTAGGCCAGTGCCAAATATGCATGTAACTGCTAGAATCCAAGAAGGATTCTATACATAGAAAGTTCCTTTTCTCCTCTCAGAGACACAATTCCGCAAGTTATGGTATAATCCAATATCGGACTGAGGCATTGTCTATATAAGCTAAGCGCGACGCGACGCGCAAGCGGCTATATTAATTGT